GAACTTCCCTTCCCAGAACTTCCCTTCCCTCCACAACTTTTCCCAAGAAATAGATATTTAATAAAAATGAAATTATTTAAATTATAGTTTTTTTTATTAATGAACTTGGCTGGATATTTCACCGTGATGCAGACAGATATCCAAAACTTTCAGTCCAGTGACTCATGTTTGCTAAACTGATAAGCAAAACCTGACTTCCTGTAGTTGTGTGAATTGGAGATGGATTTTTCACAGCCTAATAAATGCTGTTCAGTGTTTGTGGGAAAGAAGTTGCTGGATAATTAATGAAGACAAGTAAGTTAAGGTTGAAAAGGTATTTGTTAAAGTTTCCTTTGAGTTATGACAAATGTTAAGACAAATGATGTTAAAGAGAGTGACAGGATCAGCAGTTATTAATCACCTAAAGCAGGAATGGTGCCACTATTTACAAATATTTAAATGAGTTTTCAGGATACACCTGTCAGGCTGAGATTGCCATCTGGTCAAATCTCACAAATTTAGCAACAGCAACAAGCTTTGTGTTGTATGTGTTTGTTTGATGATTAACAAGTGAGTGGTACTGAGCTGTGTGCTACTCTGAGCATATGCCAGAAAACCCAGAGAAATCAATATTGCAGTCCAGACATTCATCTCTTCTGTGGAATCTCTCACAGTGATGCAGTGAGGAATGAAAGGCTTTCATTATAATGACTGTCTGTAAAAAACATTAGTTACCTCTATCAAGTATAAATAGCCCTGTATTTTTCATACATTTTCTTGACCAAAGTGATTGACCTAAAACCACTTGATCCCAATTAAGAGTGACGAGAAGGAAGTGAGTAATATTTTTCTATGGCTGACATGGTCTACTGTGCTTTATCCTGAAAAAAATGCAATACTCCAAATAAACCTTAGACATTCTCACACCACAGCTATAAAATAGCTGGTTAAGAGTGATTAATCCCACTGCATTAATCCTGAAATTATAAAAGAACAGGTTTTATAGCTGCTGAGACCTGACTGAAGTCATTTCTCCAAAGAATAAAATGATGGACTGTACAGATATGTTGCAGTTAAGAAGAATAGCTTTTGCCAAGGTCTTAAGTGAAATCAAAGAAAAGGGAATACAAATGCTTTTGTGCATTTAAAATGTTACAAAGCATTTATCAGAGATTAAAATGAAAAAAATGCAGCTGTCTAATCTGTGTAAATATTTTGAAAAGTAAAAATGTGACAAGGACTAAGTTCATCAGAGCCATCTTTAAAATCGGTCTATAAAGTATGACAGGCATATTTATTTTTATATGATTGTTTTCTCTTTAGCAAGTTAAAATGTAAAGAAGGGTGAATTCTTCAGGTGTCCCTGAAAGGTTAGGTAACATCTAACATTAATTAGACACTGTCATCTGTCCAAAATCTGCATTTGCAGGGCTGACATGAGCAGGATTTTGTAACTTAACATTGATGAGAAAGGCACCAGGTGTGAAATGAGGTTTCAGATGTTTTATACATGCCTTAATAGATGGGCCATCACTAAAGCAAATTATGTAGGGCAGCAGGTTCAACACTTCCACGTGCTTTTGTCTGCAAAAAATTCAACTCTACCTGCCCTCAGAAGTGTGTAATACTTCTAGGTGCCAAAGCTTTCTAGGAAAGTCCCAGCAGTACCTCTGTTTCTGTTCCTAGACGTGCTCTCAGCCACCTAAGTCGAATGCAGCTGCCTCTAATTCCTGCCTAAGTCTCAGTGAGCAGCTTTGGTACTCCACACAGCTCACCTTCAGGAGTTCATCTGGCAGGCACCACAGAGCACGACTGAACTGCGCACGAAGTTTGTGTTTTGGCATTTTGGAATGGTTGCATGGAAGGAGGAGACCCCTGTTACAGCTCCCAGCTGAAATCTGATCTCTCCCCTTGTAGGAGGGTGCCATAATCATTACAGTATGTGTGTTCTAAGATTGCACTCAATTAGAGTCCTCCACCTAAAAAATGAATGTGCAGTGAACAGCAGTGTGAATTTGCAGTATCCTTGCTGCTCTGAGCCAGCTTCCAACATGGGATTTAATTTGCACATTTCATTTTCAGTACGGTGCCTTTTACAGAGGCTCTTGCATTGCACACTCCTGTTACACAGAGCCTCTGCTGGCGTCTGATCTTGAGCTGTAATTTACTGACCAACATATTAAACTCTGCCTCCCCTTACATCACCCCTGGAGAGGGAGGAAAGCCAGCCAGCATTGATGAACTTGTGATTCCTCTGTCCTCCAGGTCATGAAAAATTATACCTACAGAAACATGGGTGTGGTAATTAAGAAGAGAGGTAGAAGTTTGTAAAGCTGCCTTTTGCTTTGAGGTGGTCACCTGTGCTTTAAGCAGAGCATTTTGACTTTGCACAGAAAAAAACTGGGAGTTTGCTGAGAGACATTTTCCAAAGGCAGAACTGTCCAGTGGGGATGAAGTGTGTGAGCTCTCCTACCCTCTTTCATTGCAAGGTCAAGTAGGATAATCTGAGCACATTAAAAACATAATATTTTATCCTTGTGGAATGGTTTTATTTTCCCTGAGTGAAACTGGGAAAAGCAACACACTCATATTTTTCTTATCAATGCATCTGAAGAAGAATGAGTGCCCAGTGTCCTGCCTGCCTCAGTGGGAACTCAACATAATTCAAGGAATTAGCAATTAAGGCTGCCACACTTAATGCAGGAACTATGAGCAGCTTCTTGTTTTACTCAGGCCTGAGTACATTAGGCCTGGTATGCCATGGCAGAAAACCTGCTGATCTCTGCTGTGTGTTCAACAAGGTTAAGTGGTCTAGTGTCTGTTTAAATCTCATGTTTTATGGTACAGAAGATATGTGCTCCTTTTCTAATCTATTTTTCATGTGATTGCCCTTGGAGGGGAGGAGGGAACAGTGGAGAAGTCAGAAATCTCTTTCTTAGAACCAATATTGCAGTCGCAGTGAGGCTGCACCTCGAGTGCTGCATTCTGTTTTGAGCTCCTCACATCAAAAAGGACACTGAGGTGCTGGAGCCTGTCCCAAGAAGGGCAGCGAAGGATCTGGAAAACATCTCTGATGAGTGGCTGAGGGAGCTGTGGGTGTTAATCTGGGGAAAAGGAACCTTGGGGAGATTTTATGGCATTCCACCTCAAAGGCAGATGTAGCTATGTGAGATTGGTCTTGTTTGCCATGTCTCAAGTGAAAGGATGAGTGCTCAGAAGGAATCCAGAAAGGATCTTGTGGGGTTTGGCAGAAGGTACAGAGACCTGTGAGTGTTTGTCTGTAAAGGGACCCTGCTGAGGAGGTGCCCTTATGTGCTTAAATTGGACGGAAGGATTTGGACATTTCCCTGTCTGAGTTACAGAGGAGGGGAAGTTATTTATTTGTGTTATTTCATGTCCATGGCAAATACATGGTTAAGTAAGAACTCTGTCCTTCTGTTCCCATTCAACTATTTCAGTGCCCTTGTCATCCTTTCTTCTATTGTCAGAATCAATGTGGGATATGATGATTTAAGAAATGGCAGCAAATACTGTGGTTAAAATGCTTCTAGACTGTAATAGAGGCTCTGCAACAGATCATAAAATGTCATGATCGCATATCGAGTATTCTAAAATAGCAGATTATTTTAGGAAATAATATCAGATCATGCATTTGGAGATCAGTGCTTGCCCAGAAGAAAAAAACAAAACACAGTTATGGCTGACCCTCCAAATTCTCATATGTAAATGTCATATGAATAATCTTCTTCACATGTATAATCTCAACAATGACTCCACTATTGTAATTGGCTGCCACACAGTAATGCTGAAATTTATTGTTTAAACTGGGACTCTTTTTGCAGTTAAGCTGAGTTATTCCCCAGCTCTGCATTGCCCCATCTGGCTCCTGGTAGGATTTGTGCCTTGACATCCCCCAGAACTGGAGATCTCCAGGGACCCTGGGGAGGAGGCTGGGCCCTGCAGGGTCATGTTGCCCCACACAGGCTCCTGAAACCCTGGTGAATGTGGCCAACAAAGGCAAATTAAGGGAGAGGAGAATTTTGGCCACAGCTATGGAAGAGAAGAGTTAGGTCTTGTTGATTTAGCCCTGTGGGAAGCCACAGTGATACATACAACATATTGATGTTAGAGTGTTTTATTCTGTCACTCCCTCATGCTGTGTTCATTTGTAGGGACAACATGACTTCCATAACATTTATTTTAGGGTCATTTTATTACTTTAATAATGCAGATTTAGATTGTAATTAAAGCCTGTATGATTTGTTTTAATAGCTTGCAGCTTTGTTCAGCATATGTTTAGATATTATAAAACTGCTTCAATAGACAATGGATTCATTTGTCCCTTTCACTTATTAAGGTGCACATGCACTTCATTGGGTTTATTCTTTGTGAATTTTGAGTGTGGAATTTAATCATAAAGTCACACATGCCAAAGAGACACATGCCAAATTTGGGACTTGATGGATTATGACTGTCCTTGTGAAGGAAAGAACTAGGAAAACAAGAAATCATAGTTGTATTTAATATTAAAATAATAAAATATAGCTTATTTAGCCACATCTTAGCAATTATCCCGCTACACACTTGCATGGCATTGTGAAATATGTTTCTGACTAGAATAAATTTATATATAATTTTGTATTTCATGCTTTTTTCTTACTAGTCTAACAGATGAAATTATTTCCTTTTAAAGCTGCATCTTTCAATTAAATTTGATTATTCCTTTTTCTTTCCATTATTTGGCATTCTTTGTCTTATGACATAAACCTTAGCTCACTTTATACAAAGGTGGACTTTTGGTTCCCTTTTGTTAATTTCCAGTATTTCCTAACAATGAGCTTATGTTGTCCACATCATCTGCTACAAAGATTATTTTCACTTCCAGTTCCTTTAAACTGTTTCTCTTGTAACAGGACCCAGGCCCAAGAGGTGTTGAACATTGCTGATGAGGAATCAGGTACCTTCAACATTATGTGACTGCAGAGTGTGCTCTGAGGCAGCTGAAACAATATTTGGTGAGGATTTAGGAGACTTTTTTAGTGACACCTAAATGTCATACAGCAACCCAAAGCCCTCTTCATTAGTTTTGTTTTCCATCTATATATTACAGGGAAGAGAACTGGAAAAACATTGAATCAACTGGTTTTTCTCTCCTCTTCTCTATTCCTATTTCCCATCTTTTGGGTTGTTTTTTATTGGTTGGTTGGGGGTATTTTTGGTTGTTGGTTTGGATTGATTTTTTTTTTTTTTGCATCAGAAAAAGAATAAGGGAGGTCTATCTCATTCCTGTTTTGGTTTAGTAAAAATCATTCTAGCACACTCTTTTTTATTCCAATATGAGCAGCATGAAAAATTTGAACTGCCACCAACCAGTTTTCTTGTTCTGGAACATCTCACGTATCAAAATGTCTCACGAGAGAAACAGGTAATTACCATGACCTTCAAAACTGAGAGTGTATTTGGAAGGGATATCTGCTTATTGGTTGAAAATCCTAGATCAAATTATCTGGAATTTTGGGATTGGTAAAATCAGAATCCTAATTTGAATCTTATACAGTCAGTATTTTTATCTCTTCCTTATGGTCCCTAAATTTCTTTTTACAGTAAGAAACTCAGAAACTAAGAGGCTTTCTATGGCATCTTGTTTTCATGTCATGGTAGAGAAATTGAGAAATTTTAAAATGTGTTTGGATTGAGTATTATAAATAAAAAGAATAGCCATAATTAACACAACCGTTTAACCTCCAAATGTTTCCCTGCAGTCTTCTGAAAATAATCATCTACAAACATATTTATTCTTCAAGTTATTCTCAAAATAGTCTTGTTTACCAGTCCATGCACGTGCTGTTCTAACAACTGATACCAGGTTTGAAGAACCTTAGAGCAAAGGGTTTATGCCTAAGAAAATCTTTTCCAAAATCTGAATAATAACCTGGGCTTCTGGGTTGGACACATTTCAACTCTAACAGCATCACTTGTAGATGTTTCACTATCTAGAGGTGTCATGTTGATATAGAATAAACCTGTCTGGTTGGTTTTTAGTTACTTTTCCCCTCACATTTTTTTCTTTTATTTCAGAAGGAAGAATGTGAAAACATTTTGGGCCACTGGGTATCAGGCAGCAGGGTTGCTGTGCTAATGAAAATTTGGAACACCATTGCAAACTGAAGTGTTTGACAGCAGCAGGAATTTTTCTGTGCTGTTTATGAGGTATATAAAAAGGTCAGTGTTATTTTATAGATTTTTAGGCTTAGCAATATTTTTTTTTAATGATTTACTTTTTCTTGTTTTGTAACAGCCACTTTTTTTTTTTCTGGATATGGAATGTAACTTTTTTGATTGCCTGGCGTGTTGTGGGAAAATAAATTGTGTTTCAAAATTCCAGACACACTTTGACTGTATTATTAAGAAAACATTGCTCCTGGAATAATAAATGGTGGGGTTATTTTAAGAAGTTTTGTTACATTTTCTAAATCTGCAAAAGAATCAGAACAGTAAAAGGATGATCAAGGCTGGGTTTCTTATGTTTTAACAGGCAGGTCATCAGTTGGCCTATTGGCAAAACTCCATTCATTGTAATGGACCTACATGAATTTCCAGAAGTTGTAGATTTGGGCAATAGCTTCCTAAGTGTTTCAGAATCATTGTCTTTCATTACTGCCAAGGGAACCAGTTACAAAATTGCTTGTGTGATGCTAATCTTCCCCTCCTTAGATAAAGGGCAGTAAGTGCTCTCTTGGGACACTGGACAGATGACATTGCTCAAAATAAGATAGTGAAGTGAGACTCTGAATGTGCTAAAAATACATTGAGCCCTATGTCAAATACAAGTTGTTTGTTTTTCAGTTGAAATTCAGATCAAATACAAGTACAATAGTTTGTTTTTCATGTGAAATTCAGACGTTTTAAGTGCAATACTCTGTTCTGAAGGGGATGACGTCTTAATTTGGAAAAAGTGTCTCAGAGTTTGGACTTCTCTCTTTCTTCTTCATCTTCTTAGTGGTACTTCAGAAGTGACAAAAATATTTCCTGAAGTTCCATTTTGCCTACCAGGTGCTTAGATTTCTGAGAAGCATTGGTACATTCTGAAATGCAGAGCTTTATATACACTGTCAAGTATAGACAAAGAGCTGCAAAGCATTGGTGGTTTCATAAGATTGCATTCTTTCCTGCTCTGACTCCCCCAAAGAAATCCAACTACTCTCCTTTTGCTAACAATATTTTTTTTTTTGTCTAGGTAGAGAACTGAGTGTAAAGCAATTAAAACCTTTTGATTTAAGCAACATCTTATTATTTCAATAGTCGAGCAGCCATGCTCCCCCTGTGTGGCCTGCAGCCCATAGGTGTAACACGGTGCTCACAGCTGTGAAAACACTCTGCCTTCCCCATGTTTAGATACCTATCTGTGGCTGGGGAGCAGCAGAGGAAGTCCAAACTCCAAGAATATAATGAGGGTAGAGAATGTACAGTCGGCGAGTTTCTCCCGAATCTTGCTAAGTGAAGCAAGTTTGAAGACTTGTCCTTTTGTCCTGCCAAGTTTACCAATCTGAACTTTCTCAAAAGTTGTGTGTGCTTAATTTCATCCTTCTAAAGACAGGCCCCTCCAGTCCTGTGACTTAAACCTTCTTCCCACTAGGGCTGGTGTAATTCAGCCCATACAGAGGCATAGGTCACAGGGTTAAATACAGAGAACACTGGTGGCTCCCCAAGAAATATATTGAGTTCTAATATCTGGTTTTGAAATACACAGTGGGTACAGGAAAGAGTTTTCAGACTTAAATTAGGAGTTAGGCTAAAGGTACCCACCTGATTCAGTAGATGTAGGGAGTCTCATAGCAAGAAATCAAGTTAATCAAGATTTGAGAAATATAAAATGTAAATTCCCTTTATCATGCTAACATGCCCTTTCCAGAAAAACAGTTTCTGGAAAAATGCTTTCCTTTTGTTTTTCCATCAATGGTATATTTTTGCTGTTTTGAAATGGCGATCAGTCTGGAAAAATACAAAGCTGAGCACGACTTTAGTAACTGTATTTAAAGACGTATTTGAAAGGGCATCCCTCTTTCTTCTCCATTTTTGCTGCCTTTTATAAATCAGATATTGAGGAAATGCCTTAAAATCATTCTCTGATCTTCAGGCTAAGAAATGTGTGGCACAGAATTCCTGGTGGGATTTCAGTCATCTGATGTGGATGTCAGCATAATGTGCAGGCTCCCCTTTGGAGAGGAGCTGTTGTCAGTACCTGCCTGGATATGAATGAACAGATCTTCCAGGCCTTTTGGCATCTGTCAGCCCCTGGGGCTGTTACAGCATGTGTGCATTTGCCATTCTAGCCTTGGAAAGCAGCTACTGCTGTTCTGTAATTCACAGCCTATTTATTGCTGTGAGGGGCGTTTTTCTTCTCATTTCTTTTGATTTGTTTTCTTTATGTCATTAAAAGCAGTAGCGAGGTCTATAAAATGAGCAAAAGCTTAAATAAACACCACAGTAGGCTGGTGAACTCTTTTAGGGACTCAGTTTTCATCCATAAATAATAAGTAGCTGCTCAAACTGCAGGATTTTGGCATGACCTATATTATTTTCTCTCTCCAGTTGCAGATGGCTTCAAATCACTATCACCTTTTTGCAGCTGGACCTATCACATATGCAGCTGATCGTTGTAGGTCCTTTCCTACTGAAGTATTCTATCTTCTGTCTCCATGGAGGTGGAATTCCTTCTCTTGTCTCTGACTTTACTGCTCTCAAGTCATGGATGTGTTTGTCAGACATTTTAGTCGCTTTTAGTATCCATTTACCAAATACCTTTTAACATAATTCCAAATTCTCATTGCAACTTTATATTTTATAATTATTTCACAGATTTTCCAGGCTCTGCGGGCTTTGTTGAAAAACAAACACAGCAAAACATACAAAAAATTACCCAAGCCCTCTTTCTGCAACAAATAGACCTGTTGAGGGAGGTATTTTATGCCTGTGTCAGCCATAGAATGAATAGCCAGAAACTTTTCTGTGTTATGTAACTGATGAATTGCTAAATTATTTTCAGGGAGGGAATCTTACTTTGCCAGTCTCACTTGAATTTTTTGGTGCTTTTTTACTGACCTTTAGAGTTTGGCTACTACTTTTAAATATCTATATCTTTCTCATGTATCTCGTACATCGTCATATGGGAATATGGATGAATTTTAAAGGTGGCTATCTTGAGAACACAGTGAGATGGATAATCTGATGCTATCTGCTTCATGCAGTAAAAATTACAGCAATACAATATCTTGGAGAACACAAGCTAAGTAACTGCAGGATGACCTCAATGTTTAATGAGTAAGCTGAACTGGTATTTGGAGGGGTAGCAGAATCCAGAAAGAATCATCTTAGCCTAAAATGGCAGAGTGCCCAGAGTGCCTGCATCATTCTGGAAAAGGTACCAGGGGATGAACCAGTTATTTTGTCACTGAGTCTTAAAATTGTTCTGTTTAGGGGTACGGAATTGCCTGACTTGTTATCAGCATAAATTTTGAAATTGTCTATCTGGAGAGCAGAAAAAGCTGCTTCAGTTATATTGAACACAGAGTTCTGCAAAGGTTTGGGGGATTTCCCTTCCCTTTGTCTTCCCTTGATATCCACCTTGTTCTTGTCCTTGTGTGCTACCACGAGCGCTGCTCTGTTGGCATGAGCACAACCAACGTGTGGCACGTAACTCACACTCTGGGCAGATGAGGCAATCAGCAACATCCCTGCTCCCTGCAGCTCTGCTAGCCAAGGCTCCACTTGGCTCCTTGTGTCCAAGGCAGAATTCCCTCATCCGCCTGGAATTCTTGCTTTAAAAACACAGAAGCTGATTTTAGCAACACTAAAGCCAATGGGAACGGCGAGAGCGCTGCACCTCTGGGAATCCAGCCCACATCCCTTTTGTTTTGAGTGTAGGATCGACCCTAAATGAGAAACCTTTTGTGTTTTGGAAACTAAGAAGGAGCTGAAGCAAACTTCTTCATACTTGGCAAAAACAGAATTGCTCTTGATGCAGACCAAGCATGGAAAATTCTGGTCTGAGAGGATTAGGTTTGTCAAAATTATGACAAATCTGAACAGAAAGTTTTACATAGAAATCCCTCTCATTTTACTGTCTACAGTGACAGAAGAATATATTTATGCAAAAAAATAAAATATGAGAAGTTAGATTTGTACTCACCAAACAATTACTAGTAAGCAAAAACCAAAACCAGATCAGCATAATGATGTTTTTGTCAAGCATAACAATTTTGGTTTGGCCCAAATACACAGATACAGATTTGGACTTTCTGTCACAAGTTGCCAAACATTTGTTTTCATTTATATCTCTGTATTTGTGCGTGTGCATATTGACAAAGGGGATTTGACTCCAAGAAGAACAGAGTTATTATCCAAATCCCAACACAAATCCCTCTATTGACTTCACTGGGAATTGGATCAGCACCTTGGTGAGTAGGTTCAAAAGAGAGTGTCCAGAGTTAAACTATCAGTTCTTCATCCAACTCTCATTGAAAACAATTAAGTCTTTCCATTAACTTCAATTACTCTTGGATCTAGGTTTAAAACACAAATTTTGTCTAATAGGACATATGGAGGCTGTCCTATTAAGTATGTTTTAATCACATGAGGGTGGAAGAATTTAAGGACAAAGGGTTGAAAACCAATATTAACGGAATAGTGGAGGTTAGAAAAATGCAAAATTAGTAACTTTTAAAAGGACATGGGTGCTACAGTAAATCAGAAGACTTCATTCTCTTTAAACCATTTTAGTGTTTCTTCATTCTCTTTAAACCATTTTAGTGTTTAAAGATGACTGAACTGTGGCTGCCTCTTTGTTGGTTCTGGTTCAGAAAAGCATTCAGACAGCAGTTAAGCAATGCAACTTAAGTGTGAGCATAACTCCTCTCTTAAGGAGGGGAGGAATTAAACACATGCTTTAGTGATTTCCTGACCTGAGGCTTTTATTTTCCTTCTGTGAATATTAGTGAAAGTACCTTTTTGTTCATAAGAACACTCATGAAAAGCACATTTTGAGCCCCTGGCTCAGATTTGCTTAATCTAATCAAGGAAGAGAGAAAGTGAGATGCTGTATATTAGGTAACCAGTTGCACAATTTGTGGATGACCATTAAATCATTTCAGATAGTAAAAATTGTAATAACTTGCAGTGTACTCTCAGATAATTCATAAACATAATACAGAGCTGTTCTCTAGTCCTGGATGCTCTCTCAGGGAGGAATATTGGAAGACAAACACAAACTTCTGAAATAAATTCTAGATAGACTATTTTCTCATAAGGTAAAAACCTCCATAATTCCCTCCAAATGTGGAAGGAGCTTCTATTTTCTGCATTGCTCTGGAGTTTTTCTGACTGAATGCAATTACATCCAGGCGAAACAGATTTGCAAACAGTTCTGCTTAAACTACACCTATAGAAATTACAAAAGTACCAGCAGCCCTCAGCTTTCTTTCAAGCAATATTACCAGTTTTATTTATGTGAGCTCAGATGAATATTTATGCATTTGTGTGAAAAAAGTGCATATTTGTGAAACACCTTTGGGAACACATGGGAAAGTGAGTTTTTTATATTTTATATGTTTATGTGCATATTCCATATGTTCTACTTAGTCAAACATTTAAGCAAAGATTTCTGGGTCAAATGACCTCATTTATTGTTTGTAAACTAAGCTATCTAATCTGGCTCAGTGTCTTTTCATCATATGGTGTAAGTCAAATAAACTCATCTGTTGCTCAGGCTTACAATTGTAGGGCGTTTTCAACTACACATTAAACACGAGCTCAGATCAAGCTGGGGCCAAAATGGAGCAGAGACCCTGCAGAACAGTGCTCTGGGCCCCCAAACTCGCTGCCATGAAATTACTCATTTTTCATTCTTCTAGAGGAAATTCTTAGCTCAGTTTACTTCAGCTGGCTATAGCTGATGCCAACCTGCCATCCAGAATCCATAAACACCCTGAAAATGGGGTAACTCCAGGAGTTGCTAATTGGCATCTGTGTGTGTGTCACAGAAAGGTTCTCTTTATCAGGGCAGAAAAGCACCCTGTAGGGGCTTGTGATATTATGGCAGCAGGTGGAATAGGCTGAAGACAAAGAGGAGCATAAATATGCTGATTTCTTTTTTCCTTTTGCTTCTACCGAGAAATACCCAAGCTGCTTCAGCCTTCTACTCACATGTGAACAGAGAAAAATATTTTCTTGTTATTTCCTGTTCAGTACGACCCAGTACATCCAGTCTTTTGGAAAAAGAATTTTGTAGGTTACTTGAATCAACATCCTTTTATGGTGAAGCAATTTTGAGTGTACATGACAAGTTTTACTTTCCTCACCAGTGGGATGGCAGCTCTGGGAACTGGATCATCTGGGGTTACAGAAAGAATCAAGTAGGTTTATTGAAGAGCCTGGCTAGATATAAATTCCATTTTACACAGGATCTCCTGAAGAGCATTCTGAAGCTTTTCCTTTATTCAGCTGAGATTTTTTTTTTCCCAGGGTCTGCAGTTTCATGTTCGTCTGTTACAGCTACAGGGGATATTAGTCAGTGTTTCTCTGAAGTTCTGTTTCAGGTCAGAAAGACTAATCTCCAATTAATCCCTGTCAAGTGTGAGGTGTTTTTTGAAGACTTACAGCCAGTCAGTGGAAAATAGGCATTGGGATGTAGTGGACTTCAGGTTTCTGATCCTAGGCTTTTCCTTTCAGCTGCTGAGAAACCAGAGATTTACATCCTTGCCTGTTTGGGGAGCAGAGTTGCATATGGAGGCCACACGTTTTACCTTACATTTCTCTTTGGACCTTTTAACGTGTACCCTCTTAAACAGTGTCAATGGGTTTGATACCATAAGCTATATGGGGCCTGCAATGAGACACAGCCATGTTTGGCTCTTTGCCACAAAAGTCTGGTACTGCAGAAATGCATAAAAATTGCTTGCATGCATCTCTGGCCTTGGGCTAGACTCCCTCAGGAGAGAAGGAGATTGCAAATCCCAGCACACTGTGGGTACTGTGAGCATTTCTTCATCCTTCTGCAGCATGGTTCTCCTTCTGGGTGGGGTGTGAGGGAGAGGGCCTGCACTGGAACAGCGTGGTCACATTGTAGAAGGTGCAGGAAGAGACCATGAGGGACAAAATAGCTAGAAATTGTAGTGAAATGAGCCCAGTGGAGTGAAATTTCATCTACATTAATACTTGAAGGTTTAAGGTAGGAGGCTGTTGCTTTAAAGTGCAGGAGAGGGAGATCATGATTTGAGACTAGAGACAGGAGGAAACATGGTGTGTTCTGGTATACTTTCACTAAAGTACCTCAAACTGACCCTAAAAATACAGAATGGTATTATCCAGTAGGTAGAATTAGGACCAAATTGAACTCCTTCTGGACTTGAAAGCTGAAACTGATTCCAGCCAAAAATACTCATCTGGGGCAGAAACAAAAGTTATTCCTGGGAAAGACAGTTTTATGGCAAGAATTATGTGCTTTTTTAGCTAAAGACACAATGTTTCACAATAGTAGTGACTTAGTGAAGGTCATCTACAGTAGACTGCATCCTCATCCTCCTAATTGCAGAGGATGACTAATCTTGTATCCTCCCTTTTCAATTTGAATGTTTGCTTTTGAGCCAGCATGGGTTCAATGCCAGATTTTGCTGATATCTCACAGTTCAGTTAACCAGCGTTTAGCTCATTTCTTTGTGTATCTCACAGTGTAACTTCAGTATAATTTAGCAGCAATATTATGATACAGTTGTCTGAAAGAAACTAAAATATGGGACACCTCGTGTATTTGGTGTAGCATCCTATGATGCATTGGACATTCTCTCTCATTATTTTATATTATATCTAATTATATGTAATTGTCTTTATTAAGATCGTGAGGTTTTTCTAGATTTGGTATGCTAAGTGTGCAGGACTCTGTGCAGAGGAAAATTCTTTTCCTTGAAGCATGAAGTGAGCTAGAAATTACCTCTGCTCATTTACATGGTTATGAAATAAAACAAAGGAAAAGCAAATTTTCCCTTCATTTAGGAAAGGAAGCTGCAGTTTTGACTCTATCTTCAGTCTTCTGGAGAATTTGCCTTTTGGGTAATGCACCATTATTTGTGATTTATATTTCCAATTGTCATTAGTATGCATGATTGTTGCCTTTCCTTTAGTAAAATATGGAGGGATTTGTATAATTCTTTTATTCCAATCACACATTTGGTCTTGGATTTCAGGAAAACTGATGAAAAAGGGAAAACCTTTGAAAAACTCTTCAGTTCCAGCTCTATTTCTATTGTCTATCAACATATTGCAAGCAGGAAAAAAATGAAACATCAGGAGCTAAAACTATGCGAAGAAGACAGGCTGAGGGCCTTGTAGGTATGGGACAGGTAAATCTCACAGATTTTGTTAAAAGCCTGGCTTATCCTCATTTAAACAAGAAAGCTGAAGACATGGATGGAAATTATGCAATTCATTTGACATTCTCTTGTGTTGCTTTTTTCCCATTCTTGGCATTCCATGTAGTCTAACTAGGGCTTGTATTTTTAGTGGGGAATGTGGCATTTATGTCCATGCACATTTAAAATTTAATTCTTTTAAATGCAGCTACTGTGAATACCCAGATTTTTTTCCCCTGCTGATTGTATGTGATGACACTAATTTGAAATCTAAGATTTCACCAACTCCCTAAGATCTGAATACTGTTAAGGGAGAACACTTCCTTACATGAGAGTTTCAATGAACATGTTAATATTCAGCAACGGAAAAATAAAAAAAAAAAAGAAAAATTTTTGCTTTAAGAAGCAAGCAATGTAAAACAGAGGCAGAACAAAATGAGCAAGATTCACAAGTTTTCTTGAGAGTCTTCATGTAGCCATGCAGATAGACATACATGTGACCAGTTATTGAGATTGACATAAATAGCTGATGTGAATGTGGTGATGAAAGCAATGGGGATCAATAACAAGTCACAATCCCATTATGGAAGTAATGCATTCTGCATAATGTTCAAGCACATCTGTCACCCCAAGGAATGAAAGCTGCTTGAAATTGTTAGGCAGAAGCTAGCATCTTGATAGTGGCAGCCCTACTTTGCTTCCCAGGATAATTATTAAACTCACCAAAGTGTTTTGTGCATTTGATGGTCTGCTGAAGATATAAACATACAGGGGTTTCTGCAAATCATCAGTGAAGTGATATCCAGCTTCTGCAGGGCTCAGCCACCAGCACTGCCAGAACACTCATATCAAATTACTTACAAGGACTGTGGAAACACCCCCAGCAGGGACCACACGAAGGGCTCTCCCTGCAACATGGGACTCCAGTTTGGTGCTTCCACAAAGCTGAGCTCAGTGCAGCCCTGTGAACAGCACTATGAATTCTTGTGGGCCTCTCTTCTTGTTTCTTATAAAGATGTACGTACTGATCAGTGTCAGCTCTCCATATGTTTTCCACTGAGAACTTTGGTCCTTAAAGTTATAGTTAGCTTTGAACTTTTTAAGATGTGCTTGTTGTCCTTCTCTTTGAGGCCTTTCAGAGGCAGCTTTTCATTCCTGCAGGTGTTGCACATGACTTCTGTCTTATCAAACACATTTTGGTGGGCAGGGAAAACAGATTGAGGGCTGTGTGCATTTTCCTTGGACTGAGTAACTTAAAATTGTGTGGAACAGAGAGGCAAACAGCAAAGCTACTCTGTGATCAAGAAGTTCACTGTGAAAGTCCATCTTGCTGCCTTAGGTCGCCCTGCAATGTGAGATCATTGCAATGAAGCAATTTTGAAGAAATCACTGCTTATGTTGTTAACAGATCTTGTTTTGCCTGCCCAAAGCAGATGTGTGTTTTCTGAGGACAGGAGAAAAAAGAAGGGGGGAAAGCTGCACTTTTAGAACTGTCCCACATATTCCTTAACCATATAATAAAGGTCTGTTCAATGCCACTTGCAGAAAGAGGCGTGGCATGTGCTGGAGATGGAGCTGAAGGACTAAGAATTCTGGCAAGCTGGGTGCTGATCCTTGAACAATGTTGTCTTCAGCAACAGGTAAAAAATGCAAATCTCTTTTATCGTGCAATACCAAAATATAGACAGAAAGTTTGAGAAAAACAACTCTCCCTGGCAATGAAGACGTGGACATCACTTTTCCCTCAATGCTCTCTGACCCTGATTTATTGTGAGTATTTTTCTCCAAAAAGTGATAACTCTGTGAGGAATAAATAACACAAACCACTAGGACTTCTCCTAGCAATGGGGGAAATGGGCATAATGGCATGTCCTGCATTGTCTTCTGTCACTGATGGTGTCATTGGAAGTTTTTATTGGAAAAGCTGTGTAGGGGAAATAAAAACTTCAGCAAACAGCTTGCCTAATACTTTAAAACATGCAGTGAAGAAATATCTGACTGGTAAAAAGTGTTTCTGAGCTCTCACAAGGTGTGTTTTGTTTGTAATCTTAGGCTCTAGAAATACCAAATCATCAAGTTTGATACTTAACACTGTCCATGCCAAAAAATTAGGCTTTTTGTCTGGGATGGACATTTTAAGAACTGTTTATAATCCATATCAAAATAAGGATTTATAAAGGAAGTGCTGACACGAATTTAGAACAGGATCCAATAAAAACCTATGACTTCTGGTGTGCAGAAAAGTGCAGAAGGTCACAGCCCTCGTCTAAAGCCCCCCACCCCCAAAAAACAACCAAAAAATTTGTTTCACTGGAATATACATAGATTTCTTTGGTGCCAAAGCCAAGCAAAAGAGGGAATAATTGAAATTGGCCCCTAATAACAGCAATGCAAATGTGTTCCTCTGTGTGTTTTACAGCCTTTTCTTGCATAATAAGTGGCATGGCATTACATTCTGGAGTGTAAGAAACAGTCTTAGGATACGCAATATTGAGGAGAGAAATGAGATTTTATGAGTTAAGTTAGAGTGAATGACAGAAGGTGGAGAAAAACCAATTTATTTAATGTTATCTGCACTTGAAAAAACCCCTAAACTGGACCTTGCTGGTTTTTCAACCAAACACAATCTGTAGCAATGGTGCAGTGTGGCAGGAAATTATCTGAAATAATGAACTGGTCAAGTACACTAAAACTGATACCCTTCTCATCAGCATCCAAAATATGAAACCTGCCAAAAAATTCTAATTGCACTTTACTCTGTCCAAATTATTTTATTACTTGCCAAGAAGGGCTTTGAAATATTTGGCAGAGTCTTCTACCAGGAGAAAAACGAAACAAAAGGGAATGAAGTGGAACACAATAACAAAATATCCCTGCCCCCTTGAAAAATAGCAGGTTTGGGGGTTTAGCCCTTTAATGAAGAGCTGATAACTCTATAAACCAAACTAAGTAACAAATCAGAAATGATTTATCAAGGGTAAACAAATTGGACTCAGCTAAAAAGCCTTCCAAACTTAAAGGTGTTTCTTGTTAGAGCAGCTGCTCTAATACTGTGATAGTCACAAGGTGTGTTGATACTGAACATCAAATGAAAGGAGTCTTGCCATACATTTACCTTGGTACACAGCTATGATCCATGAAATGTCACTGACCAAGCCAAATCTGAATTAAGCAATTATGACATAGCTAAAGAGGAGCTCAAAGAGAGTTCCATGAACTTGCTTTGCAGCCCCTGGCAACAAAGACTTCAGCCCTTGTCTCTTGGTAAGAACAGTGAGTTAAATTGTTTTTCATCTGGGATTAGCCCACAAACAAGTAACATCCAATTTTAATTTTTTTTAAATTTTTATTTCAAGGTTTCAAGTCTCTATTTGCTGTAATTTTTCTTTTTGATATAATACGGTGTGCTGAAAATAACATTCAGGCTTTCATACCTGTTAAGCCCTTGGTGCTGTATTTAGGGGACACCTTTGACCACGGCATGACAGCTCGAAGGTGTGGTTTCAATGAGGTGATTTTGACATCATTGCTGCCTGTGCCTCTCACTTACCAGGGCTGGCAGTGGGAAGCACAAAGTGTTTCTGGGTCAGGCACTTGTGTGCCAGTGAGGGCACTCGTGCAGGGGGAGGGAACAATGCTGGCCACAGCCAGCTCCCTTCACCTTTGCAGCTCCCAAGGGAGGCCAGAGGGCCAGGAGCTGATTAGAGGAGCCAGGTCAGAGATTTGTGAACTCTGCATTTGGCAGGCAAATGGAGGAGGAATGGGTTTTGCAGTATTGTGTTTTAAGATGCATTTATTCTTAACTATGAAAGCTGCAGACATATTGTGTTACTGCATCAGGATCTTGAGCAGATGTTTAGATTTTACAGAGAGGGGTGCATGGAAGCATTTTCAGTTTTCCTTTAATTTTAAAAAGGTTCATTGTTACCTTTGGTTTGACATGCTAACATCTACAGGGAGACAATCTGCTTCATTATGTCAGATTGCTTGAATATGAAGATTTTTTTTTATCAAACTTTTTCCTGAACAGGCTAAGTAAATGAAGGTAAATGAATTATCTGCTGCCATGGCACCAGAGCCAATGTGTTGTTTGCAAGGAAGATTGAAAGGAAATGGTAGAAGAAACACTTAGAGTAAGATTTCTCAGACTTTTCCATAATGTGATCATATCTTAACAGAAGGATTATGTAACTGATGAGTTTATTTGTTTCATAGTTGCTTGACTATCTCTAGTTTCCATACATATTTATATAGCAGACTTGATGAAGCCAGACAAACTGGTATTTGGAAAAACTGTGCTATAGGGAAGGAATAATATCTTACTTTTTTAGTAGTATGATTTATTAGGTTTTGGGGGGGGGTTTGGTGGTTTTTTTTTGTTTTGTTTGCTTTTGTTTTTAAATAAGAAGGCCATACCAGTGATGGCATTGTCCCTGTGACATACTTTGGGTCAGTGAACTCTGCCAGCCTCCACACTGCAAAACACATGCACAGGGAACATCTACCTGCATGTTTTAGTCCATCTCAGGACTTGTGAGGAGAATCTACCAGTTGTCCACACTTACCTTGTTTTGATGTGCATTGGCAAAAGATCTTGGAGAAGGTGGACAAGATTCCTTTCCAGTGAAAATATGCTGGAAGATGCACTCCAGCACTGCAGCTAATGCACTCCAGCTGCTGAAGGGCTTTCAGGCCATGAAACCTGACTGGTCCAAAGTTTAACAAAAAACCAGACAAACAAAAATATCTGCAAGACTCACAGTCCTGCCCCTCAGGGGCTTAGTGTGTGGACTTTGGGTCCTCAACAGCAAATTTTTACCTTGAGAAGTCTTTCTGTTGGTTGTATGTGCTGATCTTTGGAAAAAGTTGCTTTTAGAGAGCTCTAGTTTCAACTTTGAGAATTTTTTTGAGAATATTTCTACTCAGAGTTTGGGATCTTTGTTGCCTTTTTTCCTAATGTGATTTTGGATGATTAAGAAGCTTGAAGCTGTCTTGAAGAAGAAAATCAATCTTAAGGAAAATCCTTCAATTTTTTCTATCTCTATTTTGCCAGTGACTTGCAAGATAGAAGAAAGAAATCTGGAGGAAAAATATAAATAAACAGAAAAGTACTGTTCTCCAGTAAATTTTTAAGGGATATTTTTTGGTGGAATCTGATCTCAGACATATAAGTACACCTTGATTAGATATTGTTCCGAGATAAAAACTCTAGACACTGGAATAGTGTTTCCAAGTGTTTCTAAGTACTGGAACAATGCACATTCTCACTGAACTTCCTGAGATGCCACACGGGAACAGGAGCCTGCACAGGCACATCCTACTGTAAGGCCTGGTCCTAAAATATTGAAGAGGATGTATCAGAGGATGTGTCAGAGCACCCAGGCAAAAATATCTGTCCTCCCCTCTTGGCCTATGTCACAGATTGTAATCTCTCCTGGTCCCATCACAATGCAAAGGAATCACTTCTCTGTGGTTGTGGTGCTTGTTATTCTTTCTAAACTAAAATATGGTACCTGTTTCCAAGCCTCATGCACCACATTGGCATTCTTTAGCTGGAGTCAAGTAATGAGAAAATATTCAGGATTGTAAATTAAATGGCTTGAGAACTGGAATCCCTTTAAATATTTTTTCTAATTTCTCCCCATTCTGGCAGAAGGCAGATGTGTTGGTAAGTCCAACAAAAACATGGAATATACAAATATTATTTAACATAAGTCATGAGGGTCCCAAATTCCCAACAAGATGCATCAGACATAATATTTCGCCTTTTTTTTCTTTCCATTGGAAATAGCAAGAGTTCTACAGCTGAGATTATCCTAAATGATGATTACTCAAGCTCTTTAGATCTCTATCTTCAGAGGAACTTGTAGAATCTTGTTGCTTCTGAAAGTAAATACATTGTATTTTAGTAGTACAAGTATGGAATTAGGAGTCTCAGAGCAGGTATCTGAGACTAATGTTTGTTTTTTTTCTTCTAGAATTTGCCAGTTACAATTTTGGAATAGTGCTATGACTTCTTTTGTTCAAATTCTGTTCAACTACATTTAAAGAATCTGCACTTGTAGTCATGGGAATAATTTGGTTTTAGTGAGCAGTTGGCTTGAGTTGTTACTGATGGAGTTTTTTATATGAAAATATAAAGCATCTAGTTTATTATAAATGTAAAGTCCAAATGATTTATAGCTAGTGTCTAAAGCATGATTTAAGATTTTTTTGATTCCTTACCAATTCTGGGATGGTTTGGCCGGTAGTCAAGTCTCTGATTAAAATTTAAGCAACCCATGTTTTAGCCTGTACCTCTCTGTCTATACCCTAGTGAGAATGGAAAGACCACTAAAGGTGAGAAACTGTCAGTAGAGGCCTTGTCCTCAGCCCTCCTGAAGGAAACAAATGGAAAAAGAGAAGGCATCCCTGGCTGCTTTTTGCAAGCTGTAAAGTAACAACACGGTCTTGACCCAGCTGCTTCTACTGGGGTAGCTCCTGGAATTCCCTGCAACACTTCCTCTGTCCATTTATCTGAATTTCCTAAAGCCAGTTCATCCCAGGTGCTGTCACCCTGTGTGGGAGATCAGCTCTCCCAGCAAGAATATTTGGTTCACTGAACAGGACAAAGGAAATGGGTGTGATACTGAATTATGGG